ATTTATATTTGAATGTAGTACAAGATACAAGAAATTACTGGAATGCCCCTGATTAGTGATGGGACACCCAGTTAACTTAAAACATTAAACAGGCTTAGGCCCATTAACAYWGGCCCARTTACAGGATAACTTAAACTTAAGTATGGGCTAATAAGATCTCTTATCAGCCGAACACTCATACAAAGAGACATCATTCTAACATTCTAACATTCTAACATTCTAATAATCATCCTCCTATGCCTCCTCTTCCTGTTCCAATTGAGGACCCCATTCCTACAATTCCTGTTGTTTCTCCATCATCATCTCCTCCAATGCAGGTTAGCACCAATCACACAAGTGGTATTCGCAGAAGGACATCAGCTCCTCCTCTAGTTCATTCCTTGCTGTTGGATCCAAAAGTTGTGCCCTCTCCTTCTGTTATTGATCTTCTCATTGCATTGTGGAAAGGTTAACGTAGTTGTACTTCTCATCCTATTTCCCATTATGTTTCTGCCACTCACCTTTTTGCTTCCCATCGACAGTTTATATCTTTCTTATCTTCTGTTCTATTCCTAAGAATGTCCAGGAAACCCTTACCTCCCTAGGGTGGTGCCAAGCAATGGAAGAGGAGTTTTCTACACTGGCAAGTAATCACACGTGGGACTTACCATTCTCCCTCTTAGTAAGCATCTTGTCACATGTAAGTGGGTGTATACAGTGAAGCATCTTCTAGATGGAAGAGTTGAAAGGTTGAAGGCTCGGTTGGTGGTAAAAGGGTACTCTCAATTGTATGGTGTTGACTACATGGAAACATTCTCTTCCATAGCTAAGAGTGTTCAGTTCGGGTGTTGATCTCTTTAGCAGCAATGTATGATTGGCCTCTCTTTCAACTTGATATTAAAAATGCCTTCTTATATGGTGATATCCTTGAAGAAGTATATATGGAGCAACCACTAAAGTTTGTTGCTCAGGGGGAGGATGGTAAGGTTTCTAGACTTAAGAATGTGATCTATGGGCTGAAATAGTCTCTACGCGCGTGGTTTGTTAGATTTAGTGAAGTGGTAAGGGACTTTGGCATGAAGCAGTGCCAAGTCGACCATTCTGTGTTCAACTATGAATCAAAGGCTGGAAAGATTTTGTTAGTGGTGTATGTAGATGACATTGTTATCATTGGTAGTGATACTAGTGGGATTGCCATGTTGAAGACTTTTCTGCATGAACACTTCCAAACAAAAGACTTGAGTAAGCTGAAATATTTTTTGGGAATAGAAGTTGCAAGATCAAGAAATGGTATTAACTTGTGCCAAAGAAGAGATAGGGTTACTAGGTGCCAAAGCAGCTAAAAGACCTATGGAACCAAATGTCAAGTTGAGTATTGATGCAGGTAAAGAGTTTGAAGATCCTGGGAGGTATAGGAGGTTGGTGGGTAAGTTAAACTATCTGACTATTACTTGGTCAGACATATCATTTGCAGTGAGTGTGGTGAGTTAGTTTATGCAGCATCCATGGGTTCCACATTGGCATGCAGTTCTAAGGATTGTTAGATACTTACAGGGGGCTCTAGGTCGTGGATTGTTATACAAGAGTGGAGGAACTCTTGAGATAGTGGGATACATGGATGCTAATTGGGCCGGTACTATTTCTAACAGGAGATCCACTACAGGGTATTGTACCTTCCTTGGAGGAAATTTGGTGACTTGGAAGAGCAAGAAACAAACTGTATTAGCAAGAAGCAGTGCTGAAGTTGAATACAAGGTCATGGCACATACTACATGTGAACTAGTGAGGCTGAAAAATCTCTTGCAAGAGATGGGGTTCTCAGTTGACAAGCTGATGAAGTTGTATTGTGATAACCAAGCCATAGTTCACATCTCTTCCAATCCAGTCTTTCATGAGAGAACAAAGTATATTGAAGTTGATTGTCACTTTGTAGGAGAAAAGGTGATCAATGGGGTGATAAGTACGACACATGTAAGCTCAGGAAATTAGTGGGCAGATATGTTTACAAAAGGGTTTTGTTGTGGGAGAGTGGATTACATATGTAACCATAGTTTTCAAGGCGCCAGGGCGAGGCTAGGTGACAGGGGGGCACCCCGCCTAGGCGATGGATATTTTTATATAGAAAACATAGATCCTAGGGTAATGCCCTAGGTACCATAACCATATTTCCTTAATAAGTATTCATAGTTTTCATAAGAAAAGTATAAAGTTCATGTTAAAGTATAGAAAATCAACATATTCATAAGAAGAAAAAGAAGAAGGAAAAGAAAATTCAAAAAATATAGGGGCTGAATTTGTTATAGGAAAAGAAGAAAAGAAAATGTGTTGATTAGACAAAATTTTTAACTTCTTCCTTTTTAAAGTCTTTGGGGGTTCAATATAGCGTTTAGCAATGTTTATATTGATTAAACCCTATTAAATAAGAAAATAATAAAAAGAAATTAGTATATAAACACACAAAATGAATATTTTAGTTTAATAGTGCCTATTTTATAAATTATAATGTCAAAAAATAATGAATAAAAAAGTATTTTATAATACATAGTAAAAACTGTTTGGCGGTTAGGTGAGGCGAGCCTCAAAGGGCGCCTTGTCGCCTTGACAACTATGTATGTAACAAGCTGAGATTATATGGTGTATACTCACCAGACTGAGGGAGAGTGTTAGGGTCGGCAGAATAAGGGATAGCTTGGTCATTTTATCATATAATTAGAAGTGAGTTGTCTATTTTGTCTGTGTTTAAGTTGTGTCCCATACTTAATGAGGGACATAGTTGTCTTTTGTATTCTAATGCATAAGTTATAAATCCAAGGTGGGTCGGCTGAGAGTGATTTTTCTCACTGGCCGAAGCCGAACCCTTTCTTCCTCTCTTCTCTTCTTCTTCTTCTCTCCTTTCTTGTTCTGAACTAGTGTCAATCGATCCACAAACAGAAACAATTGCCTCTTTGAAAACAAAACCAGATCTTTTGAAGATTTACTCTCCCACATTACTTTGATTTGCAAAGAAGTTTGGGGGAAATTCTGTTCTCACCAGGACCTTCTTGCAGGTCAATTGGTATTCCTGCAAGGTTGGTATCAGAGCTGACTTTAAATTTTGATGGCAGTGCTTTGGGAAACCCTGGAGTTGCTGGGATTGGTGGAGTTCTTAGAGGAAGGGAGGAAAGCATTATGTGGGCATTTAGTGGCCCAATCGGGGTTGCTTATTCATCAAAAGCAGAAATCCTGGCTGCACTCACAGGTCTTCGAATTGCTAAAGAGAAGGGCTGGTCTGTTCTAACTCTTAAAGGAGACTCTGCTAACACAATAAGATGGTTAGGGGAGAAGGAGGGAGGCCCTTGGAGACTAGCTCATTACTTGGCTGAGGCCAGAGACATTTTGAACACCATGACTGTAAATTTAGTCTGGATTCCCAGGGAACTAGATACTGCAGCTGATGGTTTAGCTAAATCGGGTACCTTCAGGGAAATTCTTTATGGTGAAAGAAGTCTGCTTCTGTAATTTCTTTTTGCTGGTTTTGCTGTAGTATGTACATCTCCTCATGTACCTTTCTTTTTATTAATACAATCAGTTAATTCTTATTTCAAAAAAAAGTTAAATGGTGTTTACTATTTTGCTCAAGATGTGCCAACACCCTATATAAATTTGACAGTGGCAGATTGGGGTCTTCAGGAAGAATAGTAACCTACGATTATTTGAAAATGATTCTTTTTTTTTTGTTCTATAATTGTTTTGGTCGATGGGGATTTTGAAGATAGGGTTGGCTGCTTCCCTGTAGACCTCTTGTTAGGGCAATCCTCTTGTGTATGCTTGTATCTCTATACATTCATTTATTCTTTAATATAATTTTGGTTATTCACAGAAAATGGCATCTGAGGCAAAACATAGGTGCATTATTCTGCAATATTTTAAACTTAAACATATCTTGTTTTATTGTTTCTAAGGCTCTTAGGTAATGATGCTTTTGAGAATAGTAACATTTGAAGCTTCACATGATTTACTTGTTGAGTTGCACTGATATTTCTTTAACTATCATTGAAGGCCATTTCTTGTTCCTGAATTGGAGAACCAAGGGGTCTGTATGTCACTTGCTTATTGTTCATCAACTGATGACATTGTTGCTTCCTTTCGTCCCGATGGGACCACTGATTCTCAACTTTCACCTTCTCCTTCACCCACTGCCCTGGGACAAGGAATACAGGGTTCTCATGTTCTTGTCAAAAGAATTGGTAGCAGTGGTTACCAGAACTTGGGTTCTACTTCTGCCACTATAAGTAAAATTCGAATACCAAGGTCTACAATTGTAAAAGTTGGCGCTTGCACCACATTGTTTGCGTATGGGGATGACATAAACCGTGAACTATGCTTGCGGGAGTTGCCATCTTTAAGGGTTATTCAGAAATTGCAGCCACATCAGTATCCCATCCTTGATGTGAAGTATGCACATTCCTCTGGCCCAGGTCTGCTTGGTTGCATGAGTGAGGATAAATTACAGCTTTTCTCTGCAAGGGTTTCTTGAAAAGGTAACTTTATTATCATGGATTGTGTCTCTGCCTCACTTCAGTTAAAACCATGGAAAAAAAAAAAAAAGAAAAGAAAAGAACTGCCTTTCAGTTGATTCTAGTATCTCCATTTCGCTTTCTCACCCGTAAAACCTATAATTACTTGCTTAATCGTTTCCTGCTCCATACAGAGACACAGTGCGGACTGCCGGTGCTTATGAAGAAAAAAAAATTAAGAAAACTGTTACAAGTTTCAAGGACTTGAAAGAATCTTCCTTAATCATCTATTTATGTTCCATGACTTATATCACTTTGTGCCATATTTGGTTCTCTGCAACATGGTCATCTACTCATCTCACTCAGTTCTGTCAGCAGACTCTTGGGAATTCACTTTTTGGCGGGGAAAGTAAGTTGCAACTTTTGACAAGTCATTGGTCGGTCAACCAGATGCATCCATACAACCTTGTATCCATATACATGTATCTATGTAAATATTTGACTTTATAATAGATATGTCATATATGGCAATAATGTTCTGTCAGAAAAAAATTAAGGTAAGAAAAATAATCCCTTGCATCTTCCATCTTTGCCTTTTCATTTAGTTCTGAAAGTGAAACGATAAAATCAGAGTTTGGGTTGGTTTCCAACTCACTGGCGTTATTTATGGCATAATTATCAACACCAGAGTTCACAGATAAAAGTTAAAACCATGGTTTTCAAAACAGGACCGGAAAAACCGGGAACTGGTCACCTGACCAGTTCCGTTTTCCCCAAAAACCGGATTTCCCTCCAAAACGGTTGATTTTGCTCAGCGAATTGCTGAACTGTTCAAATGGTTTTGACCGTTTTTTATATTTCTGAATTTTTTTATTTTTGTCAGAATGTGCCGAGCTTTTGGTTCAAACGGTTGGACCGTTTGACCCGGTAACCGGACTCCTGACCGATTCGGTCACCGGGTTGGTTTTAAAAACCATGGTTA